GACAGAGTGATAGTAGGTCTTGTATGACATGAGTACACTATGTGAATATTTAATAACTTTTATGACCATTCAAATGTTAGCCCTTAGTGTAACACAGCAAATGGAATGGTTTTATCTGAACTTTAGACAGTACTTGGAGCAATCAATTCTTCACAAGTCATGTGATTTGAGACCAAGATCCGAGCCGGTTAAGGTTCCTCTGTCTATGGTATGCCTTTTTCGCTATTTGGTCTGTCTGTTACAAATGAAGAATGTTCTTGTGCAGACTGAATGATGGATAAGTTTATTTGGGAAACTGTATATAGCATGAAGGGACTTTAGCATGAAGGAACTTTAGCATAAAGGGACTTTAACATGAAGGAACTTTAGCATAAAGGGACTTCAGTATCAACACATAGATATTGGTCATATTGCATGGATATGCAGATTTACCCTGGTCATGCTGTCAGCTCCATGAATCACATGCTAAGGGTTCTACAGTTATGTCCTTACAGTGTTCATTATACTGTATTAAACCTTCTCTTTTAAACCATGACATATGCAAATCCTATTAATAACTGCTGATATTTATCATTATTCAATAATTGTCAATAATGCACTGTGAAGTAATATAGTATATCAACTATGTAATATCATGTAGCTATTTGGATAGGAATAAAATAGGATAACCCTTAAATTTTGGTAAATCTTTAACAAATTGACACTAATGCACAATAAAAATAGAAAGAGAGATGGGACAGCTGGAATATCCTTGAGCAATGAATATCTAACATCTGGGTAATTGACCAAACAAAGTGTGGGAAAATTTGGTTGACCACATGGAATAATTTATGTCTATGAATAAATTTGTAAATAATTATGAAGTTTTTTCTTGTCTTTATGCAAATGATGAAACAATGATTATACTTGTCTGTGAACAATATGGCTGCCATAATGCAAGTTGTTTTAGTAGCTCAATGTGGAACAATGTGAATGTCAGTGGTGGGATGACAATGTGCTATCTAAGGCCAAGTGAAATCTGCTGAAGAATATCAAAAGATACTTAATATGGTTGTACAAAACAATTAATGTTTCTTGCAATATCTGTGATTGTGTAAACATGTGTGATATGTACTGTGGATACTTTACAATGTTGATTTCTAAGTAAAAATTCTCTCTCAGACTTATTTGAGACCATTTGGCCTTGACCTCAGCGAAAACCTTCATCAGCATTTGTTCTCACTTAGTCTTATTTGAGACCTTTTGGCCTTGACCTCAGCAAAAAACCTTCATCAGCATTTGTTATATAATGAATAAGAAAATACACTAACACAAATCAGGTGGAAATTAATTGACAAAGCTAATAAAAACAGCCTGCAGGAGTAATGAATCCTTATGGACAATAGTCAGCTTTTAAGAAGCACTATTTTCCCCTATCATTTCATTGTAGTAAATCCAATTTCCAAAATTATAGAGGCACAGACAACTTTTGATTGTATTAGAAAGAGTATTAGACCATTGCTTTGACCTGAATTAAGGAAAAACCCATGCGGAACTTTCTAAATTGCACTAAAACACTACTAAACAGTATTAGAAGCTGACGCTGCCTCTAAACATAATCTAATAGATTCAAATGAGTGATCTATATGCAGACATAAATGACACTCCAAATTCCCTAGATACTGAATGAGTACAAAAAACTGTCTATTTCAACCATGGGTTAACATTTCTTTCCTGTTTTATGACTAGTTTTCTAGGGGAGCTGGGAAGTTTGTGACTGGAAATGTTTTCTTTAATTGTTGAAAATTGTGTCTGACAGACCTGGCTTGTTGTAGTGTCCTTACTTGATCTCCCAAACAAAACATATACCTTACATGATGAGTCTAATTTTAACTTGTTTCTCCATTACTATATCTGTAATAATTTTTATTTTAATTTTTTAATTGTGGGGAAGGGTATTTGGAATTAGTTAAGTCACATTGACATAAAGGTCATAAAGCAACTTTCGAGCTTTACTGATGGAGAATGACCTTGGGTGCTTAATATTTTAAGAGCAGGCACCACATGAAAGAAGCAAGATTGTCCCATATCTGTATTAGTAAAATTGGCAATTCCAATTATTACCACATTACCTACAAAAAGTTCAAAACTGTCTGAAAACATTTTTTTTTTCAATTTTCACGGAACCCACAATGCAAATAAATAATGTTATAGGGATAAAACCATGAAATAATAAAGTTTAGACATAGACAGCAAATATACCATAGATTTACTTTCCATACCACACAATGTTATTTTAATGTTGGCATTATATTAAATAAAAATTCTGTATAACATTCTCTTCTTCTGGATTATATTAAATTGGAACTGTCAGAGTATTTTTTTTGCCATTTATTATTAAATTAGATATTTGAGGGTTGAAATAATATTTATCTCTGGTCTCTTATTAATTTCCATTTGATATCATAAAGATGAGTATATATAATTATATTACCCTTGGGGATGGTCAGGTAGATGTAAGGCCATCTCAGTCACTTACTTTCCAGTATCTATGCCTTAATTTGGTCAACCATATTAAACTTGAGAAAGATCAGGGAGATACAAAGACATCACAAGGTCACTTATCTATGCTTCAGTAAGTTCAATCATATCAACCTTGAGAAAGGTCAGAGAGATGCAAGGTCATTTCATAATCACTTACCAATGCCTTTAATTTGTTTAATCATATCAGCCTTGAGAAAGGTCATGGAGATGCAAGGTCATGTCAAGGTCACTTATCTATGTCTTAATTTGTTCAATCATATCAACCTTGAGAAAGGTCAAGGAGATACAAGATCATGTCAAGATCACCATTTTAGCTTAATTTGTTCAAAGATACTTAAATGAAGAAACTATCTATAAATTCTACAAGAACGAATGACATTTTACAAAAAACCCTCATATATTGGCAAACAAAATTTAGAAATCTTTGAATGAGAGAGTGTTAGCTCTTTGCCTGGGAATTTTCTGTTGCCTGTGTAATGGTGGCCAATTTCAGGCAATTAGTGAGTTTTAATTCCAGAAAATCCCATTGTCTAACAATTAACAGAATGAAACTTGTAGAAAGATTTAATTACTTTGCTCACAGTTACTTTAATTACTGCAAATCTCAAAACTTCAATCAAATTTTTAAAATGATATTTTTTTTTAAGAATTCATTATTCTAGGCCACATTTTTGTTTTATGAAAGCTGATTGGATTATGCTACAATTTTAGGCATTACCAATAACTTTACTTAGCTTGAAATTAAAATATTTTGAATTTACCTTATTGTTACAATAAACTTTGAGTGTAAATTCTTTGTTTTGTGTGGGTGAAGTGTCTAGTTCCAGAATGTCAGTGGTTTATTGTTACTTTTATGGCTGTGTTTTCCTTCAAATGACAGCAAGTTTATCCTTAATACTTGTACTGGCACAAGTCTGTCTTTTAAAACAACCTTATTTTCAATTTCGAATCATGTTTGACTTTGACAATATACATTTTGTCAATGAAAAAAGGTCATTGGAGTACAAATGTTCTCATTTCTTTAATTATCTAAAATGTACAAATACATGAATGGACTCTATTTTTACAATAACTGACACATTTCTATGCCAGACTTTTTAAAAAATAGTCTGCATATATATGGGCAAATCCTAGACCTAGAACACGAGAACATGGTGACATTACACAATTGCATTGTAGTGTAATACAGCTTGATAAGTCATTACAAGGTGGCATCTACAGAATGGGATTTTGGTGACATTTGAAGGGATAGTGTTTCCCCAATGTCTAGCAACATTTCAGAAACAGCAAATGGCTCTGGGAAAAACTAAATTACAAAATATTATTACACATCTATTTCTTCGTTTTAGGGGAACATTTACGTCAAAATAACCAACAGCCGAATCCTAATTTAATTTTAGAAATTTTACACCAGGGAACGTAGACAATACAAAATTCTTATTTCAACACCGAGACTTTACTTACATTTCTTATGATCTATACAGACACACCTTCTACTCTGAATTAAAATAGAAACAGTACGCAATTTCACCTTCTTTAAATTTTCCTTAGTAAATTTGCTTGCCCATGGGGAAAAGGGTGGGTAGTTGAAACATGTAAAAACAAACAAACAAATTTTGCTTTCCTGAGCTGAGCAAAAACTGAGCAAAAATACAATACACTTCTTGACCCTTTTCACACCACGAGACATCAGACATTTTAAAAGATTAGAACATACTAATTAGGTTATAAGGACAAGCTCAAGGGCAATAACTCTACTGCTTGTGAGGACAAAGACTTATAGAAGATGAGGAAACATAATGACTGGAGTGTTACAAAGCAGTCTGGATAATAATTACAGAGTGTTAGAGGGCAAAATTAATGAACATACTCAACTAAATGATACAGAAGATATAATGATGTACAAGATAAAAACATGGCTGCGAACAAAAGAAACTTATATCCCAACAAATAGCCCTAGGGGGACTGCTGTAACAATGTACTGATGTAGTCAGAAATGTGATAATGTCAAGGGCAAACCCCTTCAGGCAGAAACTATAAATTGAAAAAAAAAAAAGAACTATAGGAATGGAGGAGTAAGAAGAAGATTTATGATATTGCGCTTCAACTTATTATGCAAATTTACAGTCTCAATGTCTCTAGTGTGACAACGGGAACATTCCTTCGTTCTTCACTGTGTCAACAGAATACAAAGTACGCTTCATTTTGTTGTTATTTTGTATTACATTTGAAAAGAATGTCTTGTAGATGTTTTGTGTAAAGTCTTTTTAATGCTGTTGTGGTGTCTAACATAAATAGTATTGTTCATGAATGTAATAAAAGCACATTTTGCTATGCAATATTGTACATGTAATAGAATTGGATGAGAGAAAAAAATTGTTTTGAATAAAATCAAGAAAAAAAGGCGTACCAAATGCAAATTTCTTAAAAAGTCTTAACCAGTCTAATTTGAGTAAAATTAAGAACCATCAACTTACCATGATCCTGTGCTTTGGTTACTATAACAACGGCTGCCAGCAGCCATATGACTGGTGAAATTTTCTCCATTTTGTTTTCGAAGTATTCTAATTGCTACAGCATAATATCCATGGACATCTTACCTAAAGGATAAAAACACAGACAACATTTATATACCAAACCAAACAAAAATTGAGATCATCCCGTCACCAAGGTGATTGGCACACTTTTTATCCTGCAGTTGCTATGGAAACTCAAATCCTTGTCCTGGTATTAAGTATGCAGATTAGTTTCCAAATGAGTTCACACAGATTGTTTCTTTAAGATCTTGATACTCAGGTACATTAATAATGAAATGTTATGAATATTAAATCATTGTTTTACTTGATACCAAAAGTATTGTCAATAATCTTCAAAACAAGTTTTGAAGTGGTTGAAATTGAGTAAAAGTCTATTCCGTACAAACTATAATGAGTTTTTGTTTGTTTGTTTTTTTTACGTAGATTTTTAAAATTGACTACACAAGTCTATATACTCAGAAACTGTCCAGCAGTGAAATAGTAAAGGTGGTTACACGGGTCACAGGGTTGAAGGCACATTTATAATTAACCAGACTAGACACACAAACGCACGTTAGCGGTAAATAAAGTTTAATAACAAAGCAATAATTCCAGCACCATGTGAAAGCAGAAGACAGTTCTTGTTTCCTTGACAACTGTCACAGTCTGATAAACATTACAGACTGTCAATCGAAGGCCATCTTCACTAAGAAAGAGTTGGTTAAACGAGGTTAGTTCAAAGCAGGTTTACATCAACATTTCATACAACTAATTTTTTGTCTCATAAAAAATATTAAATCTTACAAACTATTAATAAGTAAGTACGAAACAAAATCATCAACCAAATTTTACATATGAACCTTCTGCTTTTTCTTAAACCTTAACCCTTTCACTGCCATAGGGACGGCATATGCCGTCCCTATTATTTTCGGCGTATTTGCCATATGGACAGATTTTGCCGTATCTATAATGATAATAATATTTATAATAATAATAACTATAATTATAATAATAATAAAAAGTATATAGATAATTATACCATCGACAATCATTATTATATACTAGCAGATTTGGAAACATATAATTATTATAATACTAGATCTAATAACAAATTATAATAATTATATTAATTAATAATATAGTAATTTCTCAGAAAACCTTCTGGCAAATAGGTGATCAATAAATAATAAACCCTCTGGCAGCGAAAGGGTTAAGTTGATCTGGATTTGAAACAGTCATCATTTTTTAATGAAAATTTCAAAATAATAACAAACTGAATAGCAAACATTATGTGAAGACCATGTTCAGACAGCATGGATGTGCCAGCTAATCTTGGTCTGCACCGGTTTGCATGTGTAAAATTAAGACGCCGCCAGAAGGTAAAGGTTAAGATTAACAGTAATGATATACATGACTGTATCTATATTTGATAACAAATCTCACAATGTGAAATATTTCATTTTTTATAAGTCAATATATTCAGTCTGAAAATGAAACTGCCAGCAATTCCCCCGAATTTGTTACATTGACTGCCTACTTAAAATTCATGTCAGCATTTAGAAAATTAAGTGATTAAAAGTCATTTAAGTTCATTGACAATGTAGGTGCCCTTAGATAACATTTTGTGCAGGTACTTCTTCTGTAATAGAATGTGTGTGTTTTTTTGTTGGACTGGTAGAATCAATTAATTATCATACTATATTAAGCTTTTCCAATTAACTGAAGTAAGCGAGACAATATAACTGCCAGCAATTAACTGTTTTGTTTCCAGTTTTTAACTATCTGTGGTAATTTAATTTGTTTGGTCATATATTTATTTTTTTGCCATCGTGACTGGTACTAAACTTGGTGAAAATGCTGATGCAGTGGATATTTCCCTTACTTCACATTCCACCATCCTTCCCCAGGGCAACATTGGAACATAGCAAAGTGACCAAAACTTCAGTTGAGGACAAGGCCAGTTGATCTAGGTTCTGAAAGAAGACTGCTTCAGTGCTCATAATTGTTTGATATAAAGTCAGAAAAACAATATATGCATCAAACAGAAACAGAGAATCTTAAAAAAAAAAAACTTGATAAAAAATTGAACATGTCAGATACAAACTAAATAGTGAAATGGGACAAAAAAAATAAAAATTTTTTTGGTTGGGTCAATCCACCTAACCAACTTTCCTGGATAACTTAAACCAGTAAATTACCAATTTCTCCGCAAATGACCGACAACTTTTTGGGAATCAGTGGTGAGACAAAAATGTCACCATTTAGGATCGAGACGCAGTTTATAAATACTTGGTGCATTATTATGTCAAACATTTCATGTAATTATTTGATCAAATAATATTTCGTAAACCTATATTTCAACATGATCCTTAAATGTTCAAACTGTTACTAATAATGATTTACTGAAGTTAATCTGTAATGTATTTGTTTGATTCATTTGACAAGTACAACATTCCATATCTCCTTTTTTTCTTGTATTTATTTTTCATGACTCAGACTAGTAGGTATGCAAACATGTAAGACTGTTTGCTTGTAGTTATATGGTCCACAAGTTTTGAAGCAGTGAGAACAAACTCCGTTCTGTTTTATCTTTCACTCATACTCTAAAACATGTCATCTAATTCAAATAAGGACAAATTCCAAACTAAATATTGCTAAAAAAAGTTCCCACTGCACACATTTTTATCTCTATTTCTATTTCCAAATTATGCTCGGGTCTTTTATTTTGGGTCCCAAAAAGATTTTCACTTCATCATTTGTTTTCTGTCACAAGCATTTCCTCGGGATTTTTACTTTGGGTCCCCTAAACATTTTCACTTCATCATATTTTTATTTATTTTTTTGATAACAGGCAAATCAAAAGTATTAATTTTAAATTTTGTGTAATCAGCTTCTCATGTTTTGATTTGGAACTGCTTGTATACTTTGATTTAAATGATTTATGAATTTAGAAAAAAAGCACCAGTTCTCTGTTTGGACAGCATACTGGCCTAGCTCTGAACTCTTGGTCGGCATTAGCTTGCAATTATTGGCAATTTGCTTTTCAAGTATTTAAAGCATTAAATAGTATCCATCCACACAGTTTAGCTGATCATGGTAAATTAGAAAATAGAAAAAAGCCTCCAGGATCTTTGTACCAGGACAATTATTTTGACCTTTCACTGCAGGGTCATTTGAATACCATTTTAACTGCTGGCAATTAAATGTCAATATTAATTATTGAGGGTCATAAAAATAAATGAAACAGTTTTTAAGGCCTACTGAGTTTTTCTTTGTACCCAACCAATGACGAAAATTAAAACCTGCAAATCACTCAAATCTAATTATGAATTTTCTTTCAACTTATCAAATAGATGACCCATGTTAACTTAAAAGTCTTGCATTCATATTGTTGACAAGACAAAAAGCTTAAAGCTTCTTACCTAAACAGTTCAGCTCTGCAAACTTGAGAAGTCTTAGAACAGAAATCAATTTTTCTCATCAATGAGTACAATGACGATCAATAATGATTCACCAGATCTTGTAAGATACAAAAAACTTATCTTTATTTAATTAAACCAAAAATTAACTTTACTAATTTACCATTAAATCAACATTTAATTGAAACATAATGCATGATCCCCATTTTGATGTTGTTCAAACAGCTTAGGGTACTTTGACACAGGCATTTCATAGTCATGAAATATTTGAGATGAGTAAGATTATTTTTTCTCTAACACAGAATGCTTTAAATTTTGTGGGGAAAAAACATATTTAAGAAAGTTATGTAGGTGTTAAACCTGATCAACTTGGTTAGAATTATAATAGAATTATAATATTATATCACACAGTCCATCTAAGAATGTCTAGAATTAAAATTGCAGAGTCCTAGTAAAAATAAAGCTACTTAAAAACCCCTCCTGCGTGTTTAATGACCCTGGCGACAGAAGACAATTAGGCTTAAGTAAGATCTGCAGTCAACAAGCCTCATAATCAGGTATGATTTCTAAATATCAAAAACACAATTTGTACAGAGTATTTTGTTAACATAGGTAATTGTAAGGCATCAATTATGGTAGGACTACCACGACTGGTATACAGTCAGGTGATTTCTAAGTGACTTCTGGTATACATAAGTCAGTAGATTCAAAGTCTATTTGATTAAATGACCATCATGCTCTTATTCAAATTACTGTAAACTCTTTAAAATATTTATTCCAACCTATGAGATCCCATTACATAAAATAAACGATTAATTTTTGGAGACACTGACACAAAAAAGAAAACCACACATGGATTTTTATGCAACTTTTAAATCCATTTTGGTAACTAAATGGGTACTGGTACAAAAATTAAACAGGAATATTTTTTCGGCAATCAATCAAGGTTTGAGAGTGTTATGAATGGAGCGCCCCCTAGAGCGTGGAATCTCGAGGAGCTGATATGATGACAGCTTTTGGCTACTGTTAAAAAGATTTAAGGACCTGGGAATGTGCAAGATTACGTAATATGGTGCGTTAAGATAGATATAGGGGTGGGAAAGGTTACCCATGAATAAACAATATAGTAGTGCAAAGTACATTCCTTATTCAATGTCAGACATGAGAACTTTTTCTCAATAGATATTTACAAAATTATTTAAGTATTGGGTAATAGATTAAACTGCTTGATAAAGAGTTAAATTCTGTAATGTTTTTTTTTTTTAAAAAAGAAACAAGTAATCTGGTCATAAGACAGACTTTAGATTATAAAAAAACATACAAAAAAGAAAATTAAAGCTGGATATCCCACAAAAGATTTTTTATGCATATAGTTAATTTATGCCAATTAAAAACTGGCTAAATCAGGTTCTTTCATAGGCTAACTATACCAGTTCTACATAATTTTGAAATGTTTCTACAGTTTATTCTTTAAAATGCACTGGAAACAAACATGGTAAACCGCCTAAACATCCTGTCATAACAAGACAAAAATTTAACTATTTTAGTACCTCTGATAGGAATGAATTCAGTATAAGTTAGTTATAATAAATCATTATATTAATTTATCATGCCATTTCCTTTTCTGCCTGTCATACACACCCACTATCCTAGCCAAGTGCACATTTAAATACTTATACGGAAATACACGGCATATCTTAATACAAGTACGTTATTATTTCATTGGGGAATAAAAACAAAATAATCCACTGTTTATAGATTGACTCATTACCATAATTATGGCTGTAGACCTTTAAATGTTGAAGTTTATTGCAATCAAATTAATCAGTTGAATTATTCAAACATATTTGAAGAAAGAATAAGAGAATTGTATGACCATAAATTGGCGCTTAGTTTTTCAACTAAGTTGATATTTCAAAAGACTTGAGCTCTTACAATCTGTAAGATAACAGCATTATTAAGGTGCAAGATTGTTCAATAATTACTATAGATTTACCTGAAAAAAATTACTTTAGACTTAC